CCCCAAAACCCCAAAACCCCAAAACCCCAAAACCCCTTGAGGAATGAAACTTATTGAAACACTTCAAATAAAATATTGGTTTAAGAAAAATAGAGATGGCATTAAATATGGTTTTAGGCCTTTCAGAATTTGTCCCATTTAGCCACCTCAAGAATCTCTTCTCATATTTCTGAAGTGAATATCTCAAAGTTTGGGATTTTAAAGATTATGAGACTAATATAATGTAGCCTTGATGATAAAGGCAGTTATCTGTACTTAAAGAATAGACAAAATCTAAGTCATAACCAATTTAAATATCAATATGACTATAATACAAGGAAATACTTTCAGAGCGCAGATTTGGGTTTGTAGTAATTATAAGGTGATTGATGTTATGCCAGGCTTTTCCCCCTTCCAATTTTGTTTAACTGCCTCGTTCTTGATTCCTTCAGTTCTGAATAAGGCAAGAAATTGTCATTAAAACGGTCTCCAACAGTAATTTTCTCTGACGATTTACTATTGTTTAACCTAGGTCATAAAGTGTTCTGTTCTTGGAGATAATAGTTCCTCAATCTAGTCCTCTTCAAAGATGGTAAAGAGATATCTATCTCGAGTTTCTTTGGCTTTTTATGTCTCTCCAGTCTATGATAAATACTAACGCATTACCTTTTGGATTCACCTGTAACTTTGATCTCACAACTTTGATTTCTGACAAAGTATTTCTAAAAGTTAAGGTCAAAAATACTTTGTAAAAATGACGGTATTTTTGATAATTTGAGGTTAGTTTTGCTATATATCACTAAGTCATAGCTATAAGGAGCAAAAAATAGCATATTTCTCTTGTTCTTACAATAAGGATTGTTTCTACTCCTTGACCCACTATCATCAGCAGTTTGGCAGCCAATTTCTCGCTTTGGAATGCAAATCAAGCTCTTGTTAGATGCTTTGTTATCATTCTTTATGTCTCAGCTGATTCCTTCAAGAATAGTCTTAGTGAATTGTCTTTGGATACTCTTCTGAAATATGAACAATAAAGTACCTTCCTCTCCTTCCTCGCTTGCACAATCTTGTGCCTGATCTCCCTGATTCCAAGTGGCACATCCTCCTGAGTGAACTTCACTTTGAATCCCTTCTTTGAGTGAGAGCCAGAAGGAAGCCGAGGGTTAGAGGAAGGGTTAAAAGAGGGTTTTGGAGGGGTTTTGAAGCATTTAAATGTCTTTTTGGGGTTTTTGGGGTTTCTAGAAGAGATTAGAGGGGTTTTGGGGTACTTTCCGGTGATGAAGATGTTGAAAGGGGTGGGGGAGGATGAAGGGTGGCAGGAGGTTTTGGAGCTTTTGAGGTCTTGGAGAAGAGTGGTGAGTAAAGGGTATTTCATGTGGGGGTTTAGGTAATTAATGATTCAATTAAATGAAACTTTTAAGGGGTTTTGGGGTTTTGGGGTTTTGGGGTTTTGGGG